AAAAAATGTAAAATCCAGCCCACCAGGTTTTTCCTGATTTAAGAAGCCTGGAGAACTATTCCTAAAGACTATGTAAACAAAGCAAGAAAGGTGGTCCTAGCAGATGGTGACTTTGAAGCTTGTCAGAATTAAACACTCTGTTTTTGCCTTATGTATTGTATTTCCATCTATGTTTGTCATGTTTCAGTAAATTACTGTATGTATTATTTTAAAGCAAAATATAAAGATGTACTGTAAAAAGTGGTATTATGTTCTTAACAATGTGATTGGTTTTGCACCAGTCCTCTTCATACCCTGCTGTGTTCTTAAGATCAGGTCTAAAGCTTAGTGGGAGTCAGTGTAAGGAGGCTAAAATGAATTTAGTTCTCTACAGCAAAAGGCTAAATAAGTTCCCAATAAAGGACCAGCAGATGGCAAAATTTGTCTTACAGTGGGTGGCATGGATACTACTGAGTTTCCTAGTTTGACCACTTGAGGACACTGTTGGACAGCTGCTTTAGTCAAATCATTTGCATTTGTTGGGAAAGTACTGAAGGCTTGTTGTGTATAAAATCACAAAACAAAAGAAAATGTGGTATGTGACTTGTATACCCTAGTGGTTACCTTCCCTGCTACTGGCAATTAAAATGAGGACATAACTGTAATGACTGTGATTACTGAAGTAATCACAAAGTAGAAATATTCAAGACCCTTTGTGGATTTGGCTGTAAAACCACGTGTGGCCTCACACGGCTTTACACAATCCAAAGTCATGCGGACCACCCTGCCTCACAATTGTTATCCAAGACCATGTTGATCCAGACCACTTCTCAAAAAGAAAAAAAGACTCTGGCATGCAGCAATATAATGAACAGCCAAAGAGCATTAAGTGTGGTGTCACTTGGTCTGCCATTAGTATTGTGTGTAATTGTTATATTTCTGTCTCCTCTGTCCAGATAATGAGGTCCTGCAGTTTGGCAAGCTAGTAAGCACCTCCAACACTTATGAGCCCACTGACCCCGGAAAGCCCAGGAAGGCCGTAACCGTGACCACAGACCAGCCTCTTCTTTGGAGCATGGGCATCGGTAAAAACGGGGAATGACAAAGAAGAGAAATCCTTCTTAATGGAAGTGAAAAATGTGGAATTGTGACCTAGTTTCTCCAGATCACCTACGGGAAAAAAAATCTCAGGTTTTACACTTACATTTGAACAGGCTTTTTAATTTTTGTTCGCTCAGATATAAATGAAAAATCTAATGCTGAAAAGCTAATTTCTTTGCTGTAACCATGGTGACCACTGTCTTTTGAATAACATACTCAAACCACAATAGTCATGAATGCCAAATTATTACTACTCTGATGGTAACGTGAAGTGGCACTATACAGTTAAACTCTATTCCTACCTTGAGCTTCTACACTGTAGTGTTAAATTCAAAATGAACAATTGTTTTAATATCTGCACATTATTGCCTACGTGTGTCCAGATATCCACTATGCATAGCAGCATCCTGCATGTGCCTTTGAGGTCAAGACGATGGGCCTGCCTTCTGTGGCTGTTAGCAATCTCTATTGATTAAATCGAATTGAGAACGCCTAATTAAAAGTGCCTTTTGATGGCAGATTTACAGAAGGTAAAAACCAAGCTACTGTAAAAAGGTGCTGTGTTGATAGAGTAGACGGGACATATCAGATTTCCAATTATTTTTATTTACACAGTGACATATAAATGTTGAGCACAGAATGTAAAAATGCCATCCCGACAATCCCCCCCCCCCCAAATCACACCAGCTGTTAACACTGCACCGCCATCTCCTGTCCCCACGTGATGAAGTCTGATTGATCAGGACCTAACCACCACTAGAAGGAAAAACACAGAAGGGGATGTTAAGTTGGACAACACAAATGCACCTTTTTTTCACATATTCTCACTTTTTATAACAGCCTAAGCAGTATAATTATGCGGTCTTCTACTGTACACAAACAATTGCCAACGGTACCGGTGTGACTTTTTAAATCCTGTGTTTTGTGTAATAAAAATGATTAATCACTGGAAGAGTTTGTGTCATTTTATCATCCATTTAATGAAATTTATATAGAAGAGAAACTTGATCAGAGACTTAAATAAAAGATGCAATCATGTTAAATTTGTCTGTGGAAATATAGTATTAGTAGGAGCTATAACATATGACTGTAACAATTAATGGTAGAGCCATAGTGATTCACAAGATTCAAGGGTGATGGCAAAAGTTCTGGATCAAAGTGCAGTATTTTTTCATTATAAAATTAAGACATTACAGGAGTTTTAAAATAAAAATACATATATATTGTACTGAGTAAAATTGGGGATGAACTTAGATAACAACAAGTAAAGGCAGATGATAATGAGAAGTGGGTCTGGATCAGTAAGTTACCCTCATTGTCTGTAGAGTCATCACTGACTTCAATTTTGAATGACCAGCCCTACTCAGTTCGAGAGGAATACAGAGCAAAACCCTAACCCCCCACATTATCAGTGAGCCAGATTAGAGCACGTTTTAAACGATGTTATCTAAAAATTGTTCGTAAATTGTTTACTTACACAATGATGTTGTTGATGGGGATGTGAATGAGCTTGACAAAGAAACCAATGAATCCCATGATGGCAAACCCAATCGCTGTGGCCATTGCAATCTTCTGAAATTCTGGGTGAGGGCAAAAATAATCATTGTTAAAAATACTGGAAATAATACAATGTCCCTATTAAAGAAAAAGATCATAATAATTGAGCTCTTTGGATCCAGAATTTGCTAGTCAATTGGTTCAAATTTATATATTCGTTTTCATTTCCAGCAAACAAAGGCTAGCTGATATAAATAAAAAGAAACAACACCCACCTTTTCTGTCGGGTTTTGTGCACCTCTTAACGAGCCTGATGGAGTCTTTCACGAACTGCCGGCCGGGCTCAACAAACTGCATAACCTGATCCATGGTGCTTAGTCTGAAGATAGAAACAACACAAGTCAATATTAAAGCTGGGACTGGTTTCAGTGCTGACGTTGACTTAAGCTGACCGAGCTTTTAACAACTTTGTCATTATAAATATACTGTATATATTCTCATTTTCTAAGAAATAAACAAAAATACGATAAAAACAAGTATGCGAAGCTGATTTTAAGTCAGTTATGTTACGTTAATTTAATTAAAACTCGACCTTAGCTAACGTTATCCTAAGATATGCTAACTATTATGGCGACGTAGCGTTATGTTGGCAATAACCCTCGACATGTAAAATAAAATCAAAAGGTTCCAACCCAACTATAGTTGGCTACATTTATCTGATGAAAAAGACACATGTGTATTTAAAAGCGGCCGTTAGCTTACCTATTTCCTACGTGATGTTTAGTAAGAAAGTCAGAGAAGTGAGAGCCACGTAGCTACGACACAGATCACCCCCTTGTAGAGAAAGAGCTGACGTAGACTTTAGGAGCGCATGCGTGTTGTATTCTATGCGCTGTTATCATTCTCTGCACCGCCCCCTGCAGGCGGGGAGGTGTTCTTAACGATGACACTTTCTGGAGTTGAAAGGCAGAAAGAAGAAAGACCTCAAAGAAGATCCATGAATGTAATGGAGCTGACTATAAAGAGGATTGGTGTGATACTGTAAGATCATATATCCCATCGAAGTTGTGCTTTATTGACATATTTGGGCAAGGAAACATTTGCAGCCATCATCCCAGAAACGCATTAATAGCAGACTGAAAAATGAAAAACAATCAAGATAATAAACAAGTCTTTAGACGAGGACTAGAATTAGGTATAGGAAAACGAGTTTATCCCCTTTAATAAAGATGAAACACTAGCAGACAGCAAACTGGCAATGGTTTAGTCATTTTCACAATTAAAATAAATAAGAAAACTAAATAGTTACAAAGGAATGTAGGACCCCTAAATTTATCACATATTTAAATCCATAAAATTACAATCAGGGGTTCTAGATCTTTTTTTTCAGAGACTGTATATCTAAATCAGAATGCACACACTGTTCAGACAGATTACTGGTCATGGGCTTATCTTATTCCACATTCCTTAGGCACTAAATCCTCCCTCATGTGATGTAGATTAAGATGTGATTTCTAAACAGCATTCTGGCGTTTGCTTTATAATGACTTTTCTTTCTTTTCTTCATTATACTTAGTGTACTCATCTCAGTGTCGTAGTGTCAAAGCACACATGTCACATCACATAACGTGTCTATAGGTTACAAACGAGCAAAATTTTGCAATGTAGTTGTTACTCTTACGTGCTGACACTTACAACCATATGTGTCCATGCTGTAAATAGTGCCACATTGTTCTTTCTACTGTTAGGAGGAAAGGTAGAACTGCAAGCATTTATAATGATCTGAGTTTTACTGATCAGAACCAGATCCACACTTTGCTCTATCTCGCTGTTCAAGACTGGAATGAACAAGATATGCCCTCACAGAAATAAGCATCATGCACTTTTTAATAACACTTTTTCCCACCAAAACATACAATGTACAGCTTTTTTAGATCATTTACAAATTAAAATGGTCTTTGGAGCAATCCTGTTACTTTTGTTTTAAACAGTAACATTAATACATGTATAAAAGTGCTTAGCAGTGCTGTTTAAAGTATGATGTTTTCACACACAGCGTCTTCACTGCA